CTCTAGCTAATCAGAAGATCAGGAGAGAGACCAGTGCAGGGACCAGAGAGGACAAACAGGAGAGAGACCAGTGCAGAGACCAGACAGGACAAACTAAGAGAGAGAAAGACCAGTGCAGAGACCAGACAGGACAAACCAGAAGAGAGAGATCAGTGCAGAGACCAGAGAGGACAAACAAAGAGAGAAAGACCAGTGCAGAGACCAGAGAGGACAAACAGGAGAGAGACCAGTGCAGAGACCAGAGAGGACAAACAAAGCGAGAAAGACCAGTGCAGAGACTCTGGACCAGAGAGGACAAACCAGAAGAGAGAGAGCGAGCGAGACCATTGCAGAGACCAGAAAGAACAGACGAGGAGAGAGAGACCAGAGAGGACAAACCAGAAGAGAGAGAGAGACCAGTGCAGAAACCAGAGAGAACAAACAAGAAGAGAGAGACCAGTGCCTTAGACCAGAAAGGACAAACCAGGAGAGAGAGAGACTAGAGAGGACAAACCAGGAGAGAGACGAGAGAGGACAAACCAGAAGAGAGAGACCAAGACATTTCTTCAAAATGTGAATGACTATTTCTGTTAATAACAAATAACAGTAGTATCATTTCTGAGAGGAAAGAAGTTACAAACCCCAGCTTTAACCAAACATACATTATAACATTGAGCCGAGGTATCAGAGACTCTCCCCATAAATCCCACAATAATAATAATAATATTGTGTTGTTTTTGACGATTATTGTCTCTTCTAACCCATTTATTCTCTTGTGATTTGCCTCATAATGACTTCATATTCGAACGCATTTCATTTTTCAGAGTTACTGTATTTCCCGGCGCCGCTCTTGTCGGCTCGACCATTTTGCCAGTTAGCAGCTCCGTGGTTATTTTTAATCCGTGGCACATCGCCCAGAGACCACAATCTCTCTCCTCCTCAGCACGCTGCAAAATGGAAGCTTTTCCTGCTAATACCACAAACCACACTGCAAAAACACACACAAGAACACACACGACCAACAATACCGCACTGGACTGTGTCACGTTTGGGCTAACGTCATAAAAAGAAGTAATTTCTTCTGGTGTTTCTATCCGGTCTCTTTTGGTCTTTCTCTCTTTGGTCTCTCTTCCTGGTCACTCTCTCTGGTCTCTCTCTGATTTCGCTCACTGGTCTCTCTCTGATATCTCTGGTTTCTTTCTGGTCTCTCTCTCTGGCCTCTCTCTCTGGTCTCTCTCTCTGGCCTCTCTCTCTGGTGTCTCTCTCTGGTGTCTCTCTCTGGTCTCTCTCTCTGTTCTCACTCCGTCGTTGCAGTTAAACTGTTTTAACCTGGATTTGACCATTGTCAGAGTAGAATCCTGTGTCACATTTTCAGGAAGACTGTTCCAGATTTTAACTGCATCAATTAAAGGTTAAAATAACAAAAAGTTTTGGCCAGAATAGTCAGGGAAATATATTTTTGAAAGAAACGATAGAACTAGTTTATTTAAGTCCACATTATGCTGGATTTATTATAAAATGCAGTGTTCTAAAGTCATGTGAAGGCTCCGTAGATTAAGTTAAAGCTGGGGTACCTCATTTTCAGCCCCCCCCCCCCCAAAATTTGTTTTAGCTTGCTCTCAAAACAGTTGCTTCTGTCACTAGTTTCGAGTATGTTTGGCCTCTGTCACAACTCAAGATCAGCTTTTTCAGACAGAAAAGTGACTAAGAGAGGACCAGCCTCACTCAGCCAATCAGCTCTAAGCCCAAAGAGTCAGAGAGTGACTCACAGGGATCTTTCTCAGTATCTACAAGATCACATGTTTAATATTGAGATGGAGACTCTACATTTACAGGCTAAAAGCAGCAGTCGTCTCAGGGACTTTATAAAGGTGTCGATTCCTCAACAGCAGATCAGAAAATCAAACACAGTAAATGCAATGATAACACACAGGAGCCATCAGTCCATAGGGAACGGGATGACTGACGCTGTAGACCCAGGACTGAGGCTGTAGACCCAGGACTGAGGCTGTTGATCCAGGACTGACGCTATAGACCCAGGACTGAGGCTGTAGATCCAGGACTGAGGCTGTAGATCCAGGACTGAGGCTGTAGATCCAGGACTGAGGCTGTAGATCCAGGACTGAGGCTGTTGATCCAGGACTGACGCTATAGACCCAGGACTGAGGCTGTAGATCCAGGACTGAGGCAAACAAGCAGGACAATAGGACAGCCGGTGAATAGCAATGAACAGACTACAGCTGAAGTCCCAATGATGACAGATAAAGCAGGAGAGAGGAGAGGATAGTGCTGGGACCGTATTCCACCTGCGATACAATACATTTAAGCTTTTTCCATCTGACAACATTACAACACTCAAATTATGGACAACGAGACTATTTTTGTTACATGTTTTTAGTCTTTAATATCGTTGTGTAGTATTTCCTGCAGCTTTTACAGTGTGTGTGTGTGTGTGTGTGTGTGTGTGTGTTAATGGAACCATGGTCTTATCCGATGTGTTTGCATGGATTCCCCTCCGCAGCCTCACATAACCTCACGTCTTAAAGTCTCTGACCGCGGCGCTGGTTAAACTCTGCAGGAGACTTGCCCGATTTCTTGTGTGAAACTATCGCTCTCTCGCACACAAATGCGGGTACTTCTCTTGTGTGTTTTTTCGGTTTCTGCGTCGACACAAAGGGTTAAAGTGTTGAGCTTCTCTGTGGAGGTTGATCCAGCGTGAACTCAATGGCCCCAGCGCTGTGTCCGCCTCCACAGCGACACCTGCTGACGGGAGAGGGCAAGTGCACGGATCAGGGAGAGAGTTGAGACTAGAACTGTAATAAACCTGGTTATAAACGTGCTAATGTGGATTAGTGAATTGTCCATCCATCCAAACATCCATTGTCTTCCGCTTTATCCATTGCCGGATTGCAGAGGCAGCAGTCCAAGCAGAGATGCCCAGACTTCCCGATCCATCCAACCAAAAATACAATGCATGAACTTCTTGCATATTTAGGATCATTGTACACCATCAAGGCCCATATTTAACAAAAATACAACATTATTGGCCTATAACTGCACCTGTAAATAAACGACACCAGCTAGAGTAAGTCATTTTCTTTCCACATCACCTCCTCTCCTGAATATTGAGATAAATGAACAATAACTCTATACTAAAATAAAATAACATCTCTAACTTTAGCATAATAAAGAAGCAAGTATAAAATCTCGAACTTAGAGATTCTCCAGGCCTAATTCAACTGTAGGACTCCCATAATTCTGGAACTACTAGAACGACTGTAATTTTGATCGATCTCATTTCAAACCAATAGAATTCTGAGATTTTACCAGATGTATCAAAAGTAAGTAATACAGCTGGTAAACACAATATCACCAAATCCAAACCAGTCTTTCCTCCTGCTGCAGTCTGACTGTGACTGTAGACATGAACCCTCTCTGCTTCTTCTTCGGGTGAGCTGTGAGCATAGGAGCCGTGTTGTTGATGTGGGACATATTTTAGCAGATGGAAATCAAAGATAATTGTGCGAAACAGTGAGTGTCAGGAGTCTCTCTCTGCAGCTGCTCCTCACAGTTTGGCTTTAGGGATTGAACCGGTTCTCTCTGTCGCTGCTTCAAGAAAACTCATCATTAATCATATTTAAAGACAGACCCCGGCAGTCAGCAACTTGTTCTGTGTAGTCCTTTGGCAGATGTAGCAGCTAAAAATAGTCTCTCCTTACTGCCAGTGAATATTTGTGTCAGAAATCACAATGGTGGAGGCTGGTGTAAACTAAATCCTCAACTGTAAATGTAGTGCACTGGTGACTCCTGGTGGTCACAGGGAGGACTGCAACTTCATACTGCAGCCTGAGAGTCATGACAAGAACCAGGAAGTACCATCACATCCGTCCTGGTCTCAGATCTCTGCTTCCGGTGGCTCAGAGAATAGGCTTTATAGCAGCTCTGTTTGTTATAAGTCTCTCCATGGCCTTGCACCAAAGTCCATCTGTGACATGTTAGTACCATACGACCCAACGCTGAGGAGCACAGAGACTGGCCTCCTGTTTGTATAGGATCACATTGTTTTCAATACTATCAACAATTCGTAATCTCGCATAGGTCCTGGAGCAGCCACTTTCTCTTTATTTCCTTTTATTTATTTATTTGAGAAAGGAGGAACAATACATATTAATGACAATTTTCACAAATGTAAATATGCCAGATTATAGCCTTAGGATAATTTCCATCTGCAGACCCCCAGCAGGTTAGTAAAAACATACAGATACACTATTTATATACAGAGAGACAGAGACGGGAACAGTTATTGCATCATGTTAGAACAAGCAGCAAGCATGCAAAGCACAATGTAGAAAACAGAAACACATAATCTGGATTGCACATGCCCTGACTAATATTTCACTGACCCGTATTGCACCACTCTATATTGCACTGACCCTCATTACACTGACCCGTATTGCACCACTGTTTATTGCGCTGACCCTCATCATACAGACCTGTATTGCACAGCACACATTACAATGATAATCGTTCCCCTTTTTGCAATGCACCAGCTCCGTTCCACGTCTGTTTTATAATCATGAATATCTAAACATGATCACATGTTTTGAGACTTCAACCGAGCGATGAAAAGCTTGTGGTATCATTTTAACTGATCTTTTGATTGTGATCTGGAGCGTATGTTCTGCCTGCTTCCTTGCTCCCCACACTCTGGATTTATTTATTGTATTTATATTTGTGTTTATTTTTATAGGACATTGAGTGTTAAATTAACTAGTAGCAGGGATTGTAAATACATCAGATTGTAGCTTTTTGAAAAGGATTAAAGGATTCTGATTTTCGGAGCTAAATCTGTAGTCCCACTCACATTCAACCCGCACCTATGATACATGATTGTGCTGGTAGGGGAAACCCGAGCACCTGAAGGAAACCTACACAGACACAGAAAGGTCTGGAGGTGGAATCAAACCCGGTAGAATTAAATAAAACTGTAATACTGAGCGTCCATATCCTGTGTGTTGCAGGAGGCCAGTCGGTGCCACAGGACGCCTCCCCCTCCACCACCTGCCCACCCGGCCCCCCCACCCCCGCCGGCACCAACGGCAGCTCCGACGTCATGGTGAACTTCGACCCTGACCCCGCGGACCTGGCCCTGTCCTCGGTGCCGGGACAGGACGCCTTCGACCCGCGCAGACACCGCTTCAGCGACGAGGAGCTCAAACCGCAGCCAATGATCAAGAAGGCCAGGAAGATGCTGGTGCCCAACGAGCAGAAGGTAACTCACACACTTTGGCTTTGTTTCAGGCCACACATTTCTGACAATTTTAGCCAGAAAAAATATGGTCAAAATAATGTCTGAAAAAGGAATAGGCAGAAGCTAAAGCTTATAGACGCCTACTCTTTAATTTACTCCATAATAATGATTACTTGACTCCAGGACCGAGGCTGTAGAACCAGAACCGAGGCTGTAGATCCAGGACTGAGGCTGTAGATCCAGGACTACCACTGATCTCTTGTTGATGAATCAACAGCTTTGTAAAGTCCTCTGAGACAACTGCAGTGGTGATTCAGGGCTTTCACAAAAAAATAGTTCAAAAGCAGGAACATGGAAAGACCAGAGTAAAAACCCATGATTAAAGCTGTATTAGGCAAGGCAAGTTTATTTGTGTAGCACAATTCATACACAAGGCAACTCAAAGTGCTGAACAAAACAAGAAAGCATTAAAATCATAAATAATCACAGAACATTAAAAAGAAAGATAAAAATATAAAAGCTGTAACTTAAAAGCTGTATTAAAGCTGTATGGATCTCTGTGCCTCCACTCGTCCTTCTCTCGTGTTGGAGATGTTTCTCTCAGATAAATGTTTAGTGTTCGGGAGCAGCTGCAGCTCTTGAGGCGTCTGCAAAACGAAGCCAGCTCTAAAATAAATCATCACTTCGCTCATACCACTTCGACCGCAGTGTAATATCCAACCAATTCCGCATGCGACCCGGCCTCAGATTTATGCTCGAAATCAAAACTACGAGATCTAGAGTCATTTGCCTAATTCTCAATTTAAGGCAATAATCATTCCCCATAAACCCCCAGGGGTTTAGATGAGGCAAGAGAAAGAATGCATTAGAATTTTTTTACAGCACAACTTTCTAAAGAACATTATAACACAATTAGTCAATCCAACCATTTTGTTATATTAAGATTAGGACTAAGATTGGGATCCTTTATTTGTCTCACAGTGGGGAAATGTCAGTGTTGCATCACCAGTTACAGAACAGTAGGAATGAGGAGCACACAGCACAAGATAAATGAACAAAAACTATAGAACCTCTAACTTTAGCATAATAAACAAGCAAGTACACAATATCAAACTTCAACCTGATAAAGAAGCCAGAACAAAATCTTCAAGAGAGAGTCCAGTGAGGGAGAGGGAGAGAGACCAGAGACCAGGGAAAGAGAGACTAACTAGAGAGACCAGATAAAAAGAGACTAAAGAGAGACCAAGGAAAGAGAGTCTGGCCAGAGAGAGGGACTAGAGAAAGAGACGACCAGACTGAGAGAGAGACCAGAGAGAGACCAGAGTGCGACCAGAGAGAGACCAGAGAGAGACCAGAGAGAGACCAGAGAGAGACCAGAGAGAGACCAGAGAGAGACCAGAGAGCGACCAGAGAGCGACCAGAGAGAGACAAGAGAGAGACAAGAGAGAGACCAGAGAGCGACCAGAGAGAGACCAGAGAGCGACCAGAGAGAGACCAGAGAGCGACCAGAGAGAGACCAGAGAGCGACCAGAGAGAGACCAGAAAGAGACCAGAGAGAGGCCAGAGAGAGACCAGAGAGAGACCAGAGAGAGGCCTGATTGAGACCAGAGAGCGACCAGAGAGAGACCAGAGAGAGAGACCAGAGAGAGAGACCAGAGAGAGACCAGAGAGAGACCAGAGAGAGACCAGAGAGAGACCAGAGAGAGACCAGAGAGAGATCAGAGAGAGACCAGAGAGAGCACTTCTTTATTTTATGAGTAGATAATGAGACCATAGTTGACATCTGTTGACAAAGATGTGGAACTCTGACTGTTTTAGATCCATGCTGATTGTTCCAAAACTTATAGAAAGTAACCAGAATCTGACTTTTGACACTTACTACAATTTCCATCCAAGTTCCCAAGATTAACCACCTTCCCTTCAACATGACGTTAGACTACAGGCTCTTTGGAGTTCTGTGATGTCACATGAACGCAACCTTTCATACATCTAGTTTAGTTACATACATTTAGTTTTTCCCACTGGATATTCTTAGTTGCTCCTGTGCTTAGATGTTAGCCGCTGTTAATGCTTACAGAGACATGTATTGCTGTTACTGAGCTCTTTCTCTTTGTCCTTCCCTCATCATCATCATCATCAAAAAACTGACTCTCCTGTTCTCTCATTGTCTTTCTCTCTCTCTCCTTCTCTCCCCCCTCTCCCTCATTCATCCACCACACACCCCCAACGACATGCCGCCCAACCCGCAGGACGAGAAGTACTGGAACCGCCGCGTGAAGAACAACGAGGCCGCCAAGAGGTCCCGGGACGCTCGGCGACTCAAAGAGAACCAGATCACCGTCCGAGCCGCCTTCCTGGAGCGAGAGAACGCCGCTTTACGCCAAGAAGTGGCCGACATGCGGAAAGAGCTGGGCCGCTGTCGAAACATCATCAACAAATACGAGAATCGCCACGGAGACTTGTGAGAGAAAGCGAGCGAGGAGAGATCCAGCGATATTTTTTTCCCCCAGAGATATACAAAAGGGGTGCGCGAGGCCAGCCCTGATCACAGAAGCACTTTAGTTGGAAGGAGTTGGAAGCTGGAGAGGTAGACTTGTAATAAGCGCGGCACCGCATTGGGCTTAAACGCAAGATCAAGTTGATTTTGGGGGCGATGTTTTTATACCAAGCCGATCACCAGCATTTGTAACTCATCTCTGCATACATGGAAATGCACACACTTTTATACAATGTCAGGCATGGGTTAACAATGCTCAGCCTGCCAGACCAAATTTCCAATGTTTCTCACACATAAATGTATTCTTTATGTGTGGACATGTGGCTCCGGTTGCACGCAGCACATAGGGATTTTTATACTATAATTTATAAAAACTGGGGGTGCCTTAAAGAAACCTCCAAAAGACCGAATCTAGCCCACGGGCCAGGGTTTACCCACCACTGTCTTATATAGTCTGCAGTCTAATTTATCATGGAAAGGAGTGGTTTCTCTTAGATATTTTGAATATGTTGAATGCTAAGCTAACTGTGGCTAAGTGTGATCGGTCTTAAAAGTGTAATTTTGATCGCGAGTCTGTTTTAAGCAATCAATTCTACTCTTACGTTTCTGTTTGAGATATTGCTTCCATCGTTCTTGTCTGATGATGGCGGCAATATCAATCCAATAGATTTATCGAACTGCTTTTGCATAGAGTTTCAATGCATTTGATTCTTGGGAAGGGGCAAAGAGACTAGTTCAAATAAGAGGTTCTTTTTTCGTCCAACAGTGGGGACATCTTTAGTTCAGGCTTGAGACTCAAATCATTGCACATTTTGACCAATTGGCGAATACTTAACTCAAGGGACGGGCAGATATAGGTTTTTCTGCCAACACCAATATTAAATGAAAGCATTAATAGAAACGTATTGATATTCTGTTCTGTATGTATTGTCTTTGACTGTGTAATTACATACAGAACATCTCATCTTGCTCACAAGTAAACTTAATTATTGCCCATCCCTTAATAGCTTTGTAAATATTGCTTTATTCACACAAATTCCATGTATGAGAGGTTTTTATCCATGGCTGGAAGTGAGTCGGCCAATTTTGACTCGTCCGGCTGGTCACATAAGTACTGTATTTCTATAATCAGCTACAAAGTGTGACGTCATGCTACAATACACTTCCGGGTCAGACGCTAAAGCTAACGGGCAACAGAAGTCCATCTGCTTGATTCTGTGTTATATTGACATTCAATTGTTGTTCTTTTTGGACAAAAAGGAACATAAACAATGTCAGAACTAAGCAAAATTTGACTCGTAAACGCTGAATGACGTCCCACTTCGCAGCCTTGTTCCCCATACACATCGGCAGCTGGTTGTCAGAAACATCGCCCTCTGGTGGATCTTTTCTCGTCTGCGCTTGCGTCCGATGCGGCGTCGCGTTTGTCTGAGTAGTGCGTCTCCCGTCTCTCAACTTTTTCCCATACACGGTGTTGAACTCACAAGAAACCGACAAACACAAAAAACAATTGTCACATTTTTAAGGTTTTTCAAAAAGGCATGGACACACAAGTGGTTCCAATGTGTTGTTCTTTTCTATGAATATGACACAGAATATGCTGAATATTGACTTGTATATTTTTGCGATATATATTTGGGTGGAGAGAAGGCAGGAACGCGGTGGCAGGGATTACGTCCATAGAGAGATTTTGACATAGGATTATTAATGTATATTTTTCTAACAGCAGAGGTATAGATGCAGAGGAGCAATTTGGAGAACACCTTTTGTATATTTTATATAAAGGGGGAGGGGAGCTATATGGACAGCCACAGGGCCACACATAGAGAAATTCCTCCCAGCTTTTAACCAAGTAACAACTATTTTAAACAAGGCTGGATGGATGGAAGTTTTTTCAGAATGTATCAAGGCTGATTCAGGTAATTTTCAGACAGAATCTTAGTAATGATTGTTTTCGATGGGCCGTATTTCGGGCAATGGTGGAATATGACTTTGTATAGTTTTTACAATATTTCTCTCTGTTTTTTTGTTGGTTCTTCCTTTTGGTTCTGTGTGGGTTTGAAGTCAAAAATATTGGGGGATTTGAAAAGACGAAACAGAGAGAAAATGTAGAATTGCACCAGGATTGAATTGCATAGTGTAAAACCCCATTATTTTCATATTATTGCAACCTTCAATTTGCAATAGAAGGCAGGAACTTTTAATTCAATCACAAATTGAGTTCTTGGATCAATATTGTACTTTTTCAGTTCTTCCCGATTTCTTCAGTTCTTCCCGATTTTAAGGTTCTCACAAATTTTAGGACCAATATAAAGATAGGAACTGTTTACTTTTATGACATCAATCAAGTTTTGCAATCACATCACACAATTGAGCGTGGAAGTGTGAGGAGCTTCAGGGTCGGGAAGTAAAATACCATTTTCTACGAGGCTCTATACATTGTGTACACAGTCTTCAACTTTGTAACTGCTGTGGTGATAACGCAACCTCAAAGTGAAAAGTAGAATGTTTTTGTTTAGCATACACCGTGCAGAGAGACTATACAGTCTAACTAACAAGCTGTAGAGCTAACACTGGCACAATTACAGTAATGTTAATTAATGTGTGCTGTTGCTATTCAAAAAAACTAATACAAATGTAAGCAAAAATCGAGTTTTGGAAAAAAATGTTTTAACTGCAATATCTTATCTAGAACTACAATACCCAGAATGCTTTGTAGTCTCATGAGGGTTTGATTGGTTGAGACTAACACCTAGGTAGCCACACAGACATATTCTAATGGTGAATGTAGAGCCATGATTTCGCTTCAAACCCCGATGTGTTATTTTCACCAAAAATAAACTCTCCTGCTTGTTAAACACCTGTTTCCAACTCGCAATGCCTCAGGAGATATGGAGTTTTTATGAATCAGGAAGTAATATGTACAGAGCCTTGTACCTTTAGCCTTTTATTCAACATTACATCTTCTTTTAGAATTTAAATCAAACATTTCATGGTCACAGATTACTGCATAGCTGATTAGCACTTGTCTTTGTAAGATTTTTCTTGTGGCCTCATAGAAAATCAGTTTTTGCTTCCGGACTTTAGGAAAATGGACCGGGAAAGGCGAGACTTTGAAGCTCAATCCTGCCTGGATAAAAACAAAACCATCTGCTATTATTTATGACTGACTTGAATGCGTTTGGCGTCGTTTTAGCTTCTTTTAAAATCAATTTCTCTCTGATTCGTCATATGTGAATCCTGAAAGTGCAAATATTGAAACTATTGTTGGGTAGACTTTCTCCGACGTTTTTAGCATGCACTCACCCACCTAGACTTCGATGGTGCTCATTTTATCCCCCCCAAACACAACAGACTAAACTGCCTAAGCATCCTATCTTTCTCTTTACAACTCTTTATTTCATTTGTGTTGAAAATTCAATGGATAAATCGTGTATATATATATATATATATATATATATATATATATATATATATATATATATATATATGATTTATACACTTGTTATACCTCTCCTTAAAGGAATAGTTCACCGTTTTTACATACTGACATATGTTCTTACCTTACCTTAGACTAGTTAATACGTACCTGTCTGGTCTTAGTCCGTGCGCTCTGTCACGCAAACGGAGCAAAAACTGGAGCACATCCGCAGCCTCCTCTGTATATTTTGTAGCACCAAAAGGTAGCTCCCGCTAGAAGCTACCAAACTCTTCCAAGTGTTCCCTATTAAATGTATATAGTTACGTGACGTGTTACACTGCAAAGTATAGTAACACAGAAATGTAACAGTCGATTTTCTCAGCGGATAAAACGGGTACTATATTGTGAGGCGTAGTAATCTGAGGGGCGCTACGTCCGCGCGCACTAACTAAGTTAGTGCGCGGACGTAGCGCTCCTAACTTCTCTGCGCACTAACTTCTCTCCGGAGACTTCTCTCTCGCTGCTACTGTGTGCACTACAAGTCACGCTGCTTCTATTGACGGAAGTGAGCGAGAGAGAAGTCTCCGGAGAGAAGTTAGTGCGCGGACGTAGCGCCCCTCAGATTACTACGCCTCACAATATAGTACCCGTTTTATCCGCTGAGAAAATCGACTGTTACATTTCTGTGTTACTATACTTTGCAGTGTAACACGTCACGTAACTATATACATTTAATAGGGAACACTTGGAAGAGTTTGGTAGCTTCTAGCGGGAGCTACCTTTTGGTGCTACAAAATATACAGAGGAGGCTGCGGTTGTGCTCCCGTTTTTGCTCCGTTTGCATGACAGAGCGCACGGACTAAGACCAGACAGGTACGTATTAACTAGTCTAAGGTAAGGTAAGAACATTTGTCAGTATGTAAAAACGGTGAACTATTCCTTTAATGCCAGACACACCCCTTCTATTACTGTACCATACAATGCATTACCCCATTTTCTCGTACAATAGATATATATGTGTAAATGATATATGCTTGAATTATTATGTAATTAATAGTTGTAATATACATGATTGATTATAATGGGAAAACTCATTGGGAGTCCTTTGTTAGTTTTTCTCAGGTGTTTTGTCTGAAAACACATTCTGAATAATGCAAAAAAACTGTAATAATATGATTTGATTATGAAATACGTGCTTTAAAATGTACTTTATGTCAGAAAGGGGATCCTATATACAACATTATTTCCCCCTTTTTGTATATCTTTGTTTTCTTTATGGTAAAGGTTCATACAGGACCAACTAATCGTCCTTCTAAGCCCCACCTCCACCCTTATTCAATATTCATATTACTACTATGTGAGTATACTGTGAGTTTGATGCCAGAAATGTCAAAAGTTTGTGAAGAAATTGCTTAAAAAGAACATTGTTTCTCTAGTGATGCTAACCGTTGCTAATGCTAACGGCTAGCATAAGGCGTAGCCAGTACAAATCATGCTAGTCATTCTTAGCCAAAGTAAAATGGAAGATTAGAAGCCATAACTAATAA